ACACTAAAGACCGAAGACCAGAAGAGTTGTGGGATGACATCAAGAACATCATACATGAAGAAAGCAAAAAGTCATTGAGAAGACAAGAAAGAAGGCAAATGTCAAAATAGATGTCAGAAGAGACACTGAAACTTGCTCTCCAGTTTAGAGAAGCTTAGTGATTAAGGAAGTAGCAGATATAATTCAAGATATAGTTCTTTGATCAGGATAATTTTTTCTCCCACCATGTCTACAGGCAGGTCTCTGCTGCCAGGTCCTGATTGGATGTGGGTCCTCACACTTGGCCTCCAGAGGACAGGCTCCCCAGCCCCATCAGGATAGACTCCGCTCAGGTTCCTTAGGACAGGCTCCTTAACCCCCTTACAACATGCTTTCTTTCAGCCCCTTCAAAACAGACCTCCTTTCAGCCCCTCAGGACAGACCCCTCTCAGCCTCCCAGCACAGTATCCTCTCAGCTTCCCTCAGGACAGAGTCCTCTCAGCCTCCCAGTGCAGCATGCTCTCAGCCTCCCTCAGGACTGGATCCTCTCAGCCTCCTCAGAACAGACCTCCTCTCAGTACCCTTAAGATGGACTCTTCTCAGCCTCCCAGGACAGACTTCTCAGTCACCTTTCTCTCTCAGCCCTTGCCATTGGCCTGGTGGCTGCCCAATGTAAACAGATGTTACAAAGCTCTTTTAGCTCTGCTGAGAAGTGCCTGGAGGCAGACACTCAGCTCTCACGCTGTGGTTGACTTGCCCATTGTGACCATCTTGTGCTGTGAGCCAGGAAGCCCACTGCCATCTTTTTCCAGTTTTCTGGCTCTGCTGCCACTGTTTCTCTGCTGCACTTGACACTGCTTTATTTTATTTTATTATTATTTTAAGTTTTTATTGTATATTATGTGATAGTTTACATGGGAGAACATTAGTTTTACATTCATCCTATCGTATATCGCTTCATTGCCATGGTTACAATCCCCTCCATGCATCATCAACCAACGAAAGTCTGCCCCTGCCTCCCCCGGTCGTCAGCACACAGCCCCTCTCCCTTTCTGGATCTCAAATCCCCAGCCACTCCATCTCTCCACATCATCATCTCTGCCTCCATCTCTGATGTAACTATTTCTCTGGGTAGGGTCCTGCACTCCGCTCTTCTCCCTTTATGGTCCCAGGGCCCTCCACTCTTGGACTGCAAAGTCAACCACTCCCCTCCTTTTGCTACAAAACGTACATTTCCAACCCTCACATTGACACTGCTTTTTGCCTTCTTGCACCTTGTTCGGTGCTGCCACTCTCCCTGTTTCCTGAGGAGGTTCTCAGAGCAGGGAGCCCAGGCCCAAAGGACATGCTTCATTCCCAGCTCTTGTTTCTTGGTTATAGTGAGATCTCCCTCTCCCATCTCTGTGATGATTCAGTGGGATGGGAAATTGCTCAATCCCTTCATTAGGGTTTCATACAATTTATTTGCAGGGTCCCATCCCCACAATCCTGGTGTAGCACTGTGGGTTAATGTGCTGGACTGCAAAGTTGGCTTGAACCACATGGTTGGCGGTTCAAGCTCACCAGCTGCTCTTCAGAAACCCTATATAGGGTCGTTATGGTTCGCAAAGGACTTGATGGCAGTTAACAGCAACAACAACAGCAATACCACCCCTACAAGGGGGTCCATGGACTTTATTTATGTAGTTAGCAAGCTGTCCAATCCCATTGGTGGGCCACAACACCTTATTTGCATAGTCCCACCAGCCATTTTGTGGGCGTCAGAAGACCATGCATAGCTAGAGGCGTTATACAAAGCAATTCACTGCACCAGTTCTTGATCATTCATTTATTTATTAGTCTAGATAAATGTTATCTATCTACATAGATATCTATACACAGAGAGATAGATATTATTGGTTCTGCGTCTCTAGATAACCCTAAGACATAGTTCCTGCCCTCAAAAGACTCATATCTAGAGGAGAGACTAGTGAATAAATGAATGATCAAGAACGGGTGCCCTGAATTTCTTTGTATGGACTTTCTAGCTATGCATGGTCTTGTGACTCCCACCACCCCGGGTCTTTTCTTCAAAAAGAAACCATGTGTCTATTAGCAGTCATTCTTTGTCTCCTTATCCCCCAAGCCTCTGGCAACCTTGAATCTACTTTCTGTGTCAATGAGTTTACTTGTTCTAGAAGTTTCATATAAATGGAAATACACAATGTGGTCTTTTGTGTTTGGCTTCTTTCACTCAGCATAATATTTTCAAGGTTCATCCATGTTGTAGCACGGATCAATGCTTCATTCCTTTAAAAATGATTTTGTTTTTTGTTACTGAGAATATACACAGCAGAACATATTCATCAATCTCCACATGCACAATTCAGTAGCTCCATAGAGTTTTCTTGACTGTAATCTTTTATGGAAACACATTGTTCCACTTTTTCTTCCATGGCATTTTGAGAGGGTTTGAACTGGCAACCTCTCAGTTACCAGTTGAGCACAAACCGTTTGGCTCTCTAGGGACTTCTTGATGGGGGGAAGTGACAAGGAATTTGCAGTCATTTTGAATTCAGTTTTGTGGGTCTGAAGTTGAGCCCAGATTTCTGCACTTGTAACAGAGGCTGCTGGTACAGCTGGTTCGAGGACCACATTTTGAGAATCCAGTTCTGAGAGCATAAAACTACAAAAGTGCTTTCTTCCCTAGATATTTAATGAGCACCTACTATGTGTACCTAGGACATAGTAGTTGCTGCCACATTTAATTGCATCACTGTGTGCTAGGAACGTTGCTACAGGACCTCTATGAAACTCTGTTTCATCTTCTTTTTTCCTATTTCTTTCTCAGAACAATCAGGTCACACCCGCTACCTCTTGCCTACTGCCCTGGTTCAAGGAACCCTGACTTTGCCCCCTGCTTTCCCCTAGATGCAGCTCCCAACAGGTGGATCTACCCCAGCAGAGAAGGAGGTGACCCAGGCTGGTGCACACCAGGTTTCTGAGGACTGCAGGGCCAGCTACCTGGAACCATAGCAGATACGGATGAATGGAATATGGGAATGGGGGCGATCTGGGGAGTATCTCTACCATTCTATCTGCTATAGGAGAAATATTGACTCTGATTAGCTCACTTTTGCTGTTGTTTAGTGTCGTTGAGTCAGTTCTGACTCAGCGATTCTATATAGGGTTTCCTAGGCATGGCTGGTAGATTTGAACCACTGACCTTATGGTTAGCAGTTTAGTGCTTATCCTACAGTGTCATATCAGGACTCCATTTTCAAAGGTACCCTCATTCTAGAGTCTGACAGTGGGGAGAATTTGGCGGAGAGGATGAACCCACCATAGGGCAATTCTGGATCTGGATAAGATATGCCGCTCTGTAAGGTCCCTGTCTAAGGAGCTCTGGTAGCATAGTGGTTACGAATCGGGCTGCTAACCTGAAGGTTGGCAGTTCGAAACTACCAGCGGTTCCACGGGAGAAAGATGAGGCGTTCTGCTCCCATAAAGATTTACAGCCTCGGAAACCCTATGCAGGGTCACTATGAGTCGGAACCGACTCCAGGGTACTTAACAACAAGGTCCCTGTCTAGACTCCTGGTGTGGCACTGTAGAATCAGCACTGGTGATTCTAGTGTGAACCACAGGTCGGTAGTTCAAACCCACTAGCTGCTCCTCAGAAACCCTATGCAGGGTCACTATGAGTAGAAATTGATTCAACCAGGCACTTAACAGCAAGGTCCCTATCGAATGCCCCATTTTCCACTTGGGAAGCTGGAGGCCCAGGGAAGAAGCAGCAAGGATGGGCAGACTCCATGTTTCCTGGCTCCGCCTTCTCCCCATACCTCATCCAAGTACAGC